AAAAAAAAAGAGAAAAACCATATGATCCTGTCAATCGATGCAGAAAAGGCCTTTGACAAAATCCAGCACCCTTTCTTAATAAAAACCCTTGAGAAAGTCGGGATAGAAGGAACATACTTAAAGATCATCAAAGCCATTTATGAAAAGCCCACAGCTAACATCATCCTCAACGGGGAAAAACTGAGAGCTTTTTCCCTGAGATCAGGAACACGACAGGGATGCCCACTCTCAACGCTGTTGTTTAACATAGTGCTGGAAGTTCTAGCATCAGCAATCAGACAACAAAAGGAAATCAAAGGCATCCAAATTGGCAAAGATGAAGTCAAGCTTTCGCTTTTTGCAGATGACATGATATTATACATGGAAAATCCGATAGACTCCACCAAAAGTCTGCTAGAACTGATACATGAATTCAGCAAAGTTGTAGGATACAAAATCAATGTGCAGAAATCAGTTGCATTCTTATACACTAACAATGAAACAACAGAAAGACAAATAAAGAAACGGATCCCATTCACAATTGCACCAAGAAGCATAAAATACCTAGGAATAAATCTAACCAAAGATGTAAAGGATCTGTATGCTGAAAACTATAGAAAGCTTATGAAGGTAATTGAAGAAGATTTAAAGAAATGGAAAGACATTCCCTGCTCATGGATTGGAAGAATAAATATTGTCAAAATGTCAATACTACCCAAAGCTATCTACACATTCAATGCAATCCCAATCAAAATTGCACCAGCATTCTTCTCGAAACTAGAACAAGCAATCCTAAAATTCATATGGAACCACAAAAGGCCCCGAATAGCCAAAGTAATTTTGAAGAAGAAGACCAAAGCAGGAGGCATCACAATCCCAGACTTTAGCCTCTACTACAAAGCTGTCATCATCAAGACAGCATGGTATTGGCACAAAAACAGACACATAGACCAATGGAATAGAATAGAAACCCCAGAACTAGACCCACAAACGTATGGCCAACTCATCTTTGACAAAGCAGGAAAGAACATCCAATGGAAAAAAGACAGTCTCTTTAACAAATGGTGCTGGGAGAACTGGACAGCAACATGCAGAAGGTTGAAACTAGACCACTTTCTCACACCATTCACAAAAATAAACTCAAAATGGATAAAGGACCTGAATGTGAGACAGGAAACCATCAAAACCTTAGAGGAGAAAGCAGGAAAAGACCTCTCTGACCTCAGCCGTAGCAATCTCTTACTCGACACATCCCCAAAGGCAAGGGAATTAAAAGCAAAAGTGAATTACTGGGACCTTATGAAGATAAAAAGCTTCTGCACAGCAAAGGAAACAACCAACAAAACGAAAAGGCAACCAACGGAATGGGAAAAGATATTTGCAAATGACATATCGGACAAAGGGCTAGTATCCAAAATCTATAAAGAGCTCACCAAACTCCACACCCGAAAAACAAATAACCCAGTGAAGAAATGGGCAGAAAACATGAATAGACACTTCTCTAAAGAAGACATCCGGATGGCCAACAGGCACATGAAAAGATGTTCAGCGTCGCTCCTTATCACGGAAATACAAATCAAAACCACACTCAGGTATCACCTCACGCCAGTCCGAGTGGCCAAAATGAACAAATCAGGAGACTATAGATGCTGGAGAGGTTGTGGAGAAACGGGAACCCTCTTGCACTGTTGGTGGGAATGCAAATTGGTGCAGCCGCTCTGGAAAACAGTGTGGAGGTTCCTCAGAAAATTAAAAATAGACCTACCCTATGACCCAGCAATAGCACTGCTAGGAATTTATCCAAGGGATACAGGAGTACGGATGCATAGGGGCACTTGTACCCCAATGTTCATAGCAGCACTCTCAACAATAGCCAAATTATGGAAAGAGCCTAAATGTCCATCAACTGATGAATGGATAAAGAAATTGTGGTTTATATACACTATGGAATACTACGTGGCAATGAAAAAAAATGAAATATGGCCTTTTGTAGCAACGTGGATGGAACTGGAGAGTGTGATGCTAAGTGAAATAAGCCCTACAGAGAAAGACAGATACTATATGGTTTCACTCTTATGTGGATCCTGAGAAACTTAACAGGAACCCATGGGGAGGGGAAGGAAAAAAAAAAAAAGAGGTTAGAGTGGGAGAGAGCCAAAGCATAAGAGACTGTTGAGAACTGAGAACAAACTAAGGGTTGATGGGGGTGTGAGGGAGGAGAGGGTGGGTGATGGGTATTGAGGAGGGCACCTTTTGGGATGAGCACTGGGTGTTGTATGGAAACCAATTTGACAATAAATTTCATATATAAATAAAAAGATAAATAAAATAATTAAAAAAAAAAAGATAAAGTAAATACTCCAGAGATGCCTGGGTGGCTCAGTTGGCTGAGCGTCTGACTTTGGCTCAGGTCATGATCTCACAGTTCATGAGTTCAAATCCTGTGTTGTGCTCTGTACTGACAGCCTGGAGCCTGGAGCCTGCCTTGAGTTCTGTGTCTCCCTCTCTCTCTGTCCCTCCCAATGCACACTCCTTCTCTCTCTCTCTCCCTCTCTCTTTCTCTCTCAAAAATGAATAAATATTTTAAAAATTAAAAAGAAAATCACTCTGCAAGCTTATCTTTCAATGCTGCTAATGAAAGGTCTTTTATTCACTGTGAAGAATTATATACTTACTGTCAAATAATCAATTCACTCAAGTATCTCATATCCCTCTGTAGAGGGAAAGAGTGATAAGTTGTTACTCTTAACCTCAAGTACCTTACAGTTTAATACTAAATGTAATATAAATCCCATTAAAAGTGCCACAATAAATTAATTCTCACAGAGATTTAATATGAGGACCCATTCTAACTTAGCAATTAGGAGAAACTTCATAGAGAAGATGATTCATAAATCTAAGTCAAAGTTTACAAATTAGTAGAATTTCAATAGCCAGAGTAAGGTGTTTCTATTTTTTTAACATTTATTTATTTTTGAGAGAGAGAGAGAGAGAGAGAGAGAGAGAGAGAGAAAGTGAAAGTGGGGGAGGGGCAGAGAGAGAGGGAGACACAGAATCCAAAGCAGGCTCCAGGTTCTGAGCTGTCAGCACAGAGCCCAGTGCGGGGCTTGAACTCATGAACCGTGAGTTCATGACCTGAGCTGAAGTCGGACGCTTAACCAATTGAGCCACCCAGGCACCCCAGAGTAAGGTATTTCCAAACAAAATTAACAGCATAACCAACCAAGGAAACAAAACTATGTGGTGTGTTTACCAGTGTCCAAATTCAGTAAGCACAAGGGCCATGTATGCTTGCTAATGAGTATCTAGTTCAGTGTCCAGCACATAGCAGATTCTTTTAAAATGTGTATTTTTTAATGTTTATTTGTTTTTGAGAGAGAGAGAGACAGAGTGTAAGTGGGGGAGGGGCAGAGAGAGAGGGAGACACAGAATCCAAAGCAGGCTCCAGGCTCTCAGATGTCATCACAGAGCCTGGCATAGGGCTCAGGCTCACCAACCATGAGATTGTGACCTGAGCCAAAGTCTGACACTTAAGCGACGGAGCCACCCAGTCACCCCACACAGTAGGTTCTTAATAAATGTTTAAAACAAATTAATGACCAAAATATCAAAAATCTTGCTTTTCAAATGCAGGGGAAATTTAATTTCATTTTATGGACACTGGGCAGTCTTCAGCTTGGGCAAACAATCAAGTGAGTGAGGATAGTATTTTTATAAAGCAAAATGAGCAGGTTCAAAGAAGAAAAGTGCAATGGATATTATTACTTTCAATCTTGGATTGAATTTAGAAGTCTAATGATCACCCACATATAGGTGTTTAAAATTAGATAGAAATTTAGCCTATAACACAAGAAAGATGTCAGGGCTACAGATTTTGATTTAAAATTCACTCCCTTACACATGTGATACTTGAAACCACTGGAATGAATGAAATATAGAGAGAAAAACTAAAAAAAAATCTTATAGAACATAAGAAAAGTATCTTTAGTATTCCCATGGCATACCTCCATGAACAGGATTGAAATTTGCCTCTTATTTTACCACAGTTCCCAAACCTATCAGCGTGAGACTGTATTTCTTCATAGCAGGCAAATGGTGCATTTTTTGAACCTGTCAGAGTTAGAAATATATTTGGATTAAAACTCCCTTCTTCATCTTAGTTCATTCTCTCTTACATATTTACTTTGCCTTCTAATATTAGCATCTAATTCAAAAGTTTTCCTAGTGAGATTGTTATTAAAAGAGAATTAAAGTGAAAAGTAGTGCTCATAATTATTTCCCCTTTTGTTTCATTTTCAATTATTTGCATCACAAAAGATATCATGAGGGGAAAGGAGAGTTACAGAAGTGTAAACCATGAGAGTGCTCTATGAAAAAGGCAATAGAGAGATAATGCAAGAAAACGATACTCATTTTCCTAGTTTGTGAGTTGGAACATATAAAAAGCCAGGTCTATTACAAAATCTCATTGAAGAAACCTAATTGTACTTTCAGAAACTCTAAAATGAAAGGAGCAAAGCTGCCAACCTATTACCTACCTTTTCCCTTCATTACTGTATTTAGTTTTCATCACTGTGTAAAATATTACCAAAATCTTGGCAATTTAAAACAACACCCATTTATGTTACACAAGTGAGGTCTCTCTCTGCTCAAGAGTCTCATAAGGCTAAATAATGTTACTGGCTGGGGCTGCAGTCTCATCAGAGGCTGAAGTCCTCTTCTGAGCTCATTGGTTGTTGGTAGAATTCAGGGGTTTTTTTTGTAGCCATAGCTTCATTTGCTTACCATCTGGCAGGGGTTTCTCTTGGCTCCTAGAACTCCCCTCACATCCTAGTCACATGGCCCTCTCACAACGTGACAGGTTGTTTCTTCCAAGCCAGCAAGAGAATCTCTCTGACATCTCCCATCTTTTAAAAGGCTCACATGATTAGGTCAGGCTCACTCAGAATGATCTTCCTTTTTGCTTAACTCAAAGTTCACTAATTATGGACCTTAATTACATCTTCAAAATTCCTTCATCTTTACTATTAACTATAATCACAGGATTGACATTCCATCACATATTCACTGGTTCTACCCTAACTCAAAAGAAGGGGATTAATCCAAGGCCTGAACGCTAGCAGAGTCTTGAATTTGCATGAAATCACAAAAGACCCTAAATCACAAAGCAGTCCTGCAAAAGAATAGCAAAGCTGGAGGCATCACATTTCTGGACTTTGACTTATATTACAAAGCTGTAGTTACCAGAACAGTATGGTAATGGCAAATATAAGTTTAAAAAAAGGCACATAGATCAATGGAACAGAATATAGAATCCAAAAATGAACCCACAATTGTATGGTCAATTAATCATCAAGAAAGAAAGAAAGAATATCCAATGGAAAAAAGACAGTTTCCTCAACAAATGGTGTTGGGAAAACTGGACAGCAACATGCAGATGAATGAAACTAGACCACTTACTTACACCATACACAAATGTAAATTCAAAATGGATTAAAGACCTAAATGTTGACAATGGCCATAGCAACTTCTTTCCAGATATGTCTCCTGAGGGAAAGGAAACAATGCAAGAATAAACTATTGGGGCTACATCAAAATAAAGTCTCTGCACAGTGAAGGAAATAATCAACAAAACTAAAAGGCAACCTACGGAACAGGAGAAGATATTTGCAAATGGCATATCTGACAATGGGTTAGTATCCAAAATCTATAAAGAACTTATCAAACTCAACAACCAAAAAACAAATAATCCAGTTAAGAAATGGGAAGAAGACTTGAAGAGACATTTTTTGCAAAGAGGACATCCAGATAGCTAACAGACACACGAAAAGATGTTCAACATCAATCATCAGGGAAATACAAACCAAAACCATGATGAGATACCACCTCACACCTTTCATAATGGCTAAAAATAACAACACAGGAAATAACAGGTGTTGTTGAGATGTGGAGAAAGAGGAACCCTCTTGCACTGTTGTTGGGAACACAAACTGGTGGACTCACTGTGGAAAACAGTATGAAGGTTTCTCAAAAAGTTAAAAATAGAAGTACTTTATGATTCAGCAATTGCAGTAGGTATTTACCCAAGGAATACAAAAATACTATTTTGAAAGGATACAAGCACCCTGATGGTTATAACAGTATTATCTACACTAGCCAAATTATGAAAACAGCCCAAGTGTCCATCAATTGATGAATGGATACAGTAGTGTATATACATATATATGTATATGTATGCATATATATGTATATGTATGTATATATATACATATATATGTATACACACACACACACACACACACACACACACACACACACACTGGAATATTACTCAGCCATAAAAAAAGAATGAAATCTTGTCATTTTCAATGACGTGGATGAAACTAGAGAATATTATGCTAAGTGAAATAAGTCAGTGAATGACAAATACCATATGATTTCACTCATATGCAGAATTGAAGAAAGAAAACAAATGAGCAAAGGGGAAAAGGAGAGAGGCAGGCAAACCAAGAAACAGACTATTAACTATGGAGAACAAACTGATGGTTACCAGAGGACAGGCAGTTAGGGAGTGGGTGGGTTAAATGGGTGATAGGTGATAAGGAGTACACTTGTTGCAATGAGCACTGGGTGTTGTACAGAATTGTTGAATCACTATATTGGAATTATATATCAGGAACAGTCTATTCCCTGAACTACTATTACCCTGTATGTTAATTAACTAGAATTTAAATTAAAACTTTAAGAAAAAAAATTCTGCCTAGCACAGTTACCTTCTCTAAAATGAAGCTTGCTAAGCCCAGCTGCCTCATCTATAAAAGTAAACAGTATCTATCTCAATAGATTGTTATGAGAATTAATTAACATGATGTTTATTTAGCCACTGTGAATTCCCATCTAATCCTTTTCCATTTTCTTTTAGGATCAAGAGGATTTCTCTTGTTTACCTGCTCCTTTCATTAACTACATCTTCCCCAACATTCTTTTTCTTTCTTTACCATTTCCTAATTCTCTTTTCACCAGTTTTAAACATTGGTCCATCAAAGGTGATTGTATAGTACCATTAGGACAGACAATGTTATTTCTAAGTATTCACAATGTCTAATCAGTTCACTTGTAAATCTGAAATACCAGGTCAAGAATGTCAATTCAGGACTTGTTAAACACCAAGATATTACCCAGGACAAGTCAGAAATTGGATAATTCAATCCAGTTTGGAGCTATAATATAAAAATTATGTTTAGTCACAGAATACAGACAGTTCCCGACTCACATTTCAACTTAACATTTTTTTTTAATTTATGATGGTGCAAAAACAATATGCATTCAGTAGAATCTGTACTTCAGAATTTAAATTTTAATCTTTTCCTGGGCTAAGTGGTATGATACTCACTTGTGATGCTGGGCAGCAGCAGCAAGCCACAATTCCAAGTCAGCCTCATGATCATAAGCATAAACAACCAATATACTTACAACCATTCTGTATGCATATAACCATTCTGTTTTTCACTTTTCATATAGTATCCAAAAAATCACATGAGATATTCAATACTTTGTTACAAAATAAGCTTTGTGTTAGATGATTTTGCCCTATTGTAGGCTAATGTAAGGGTTCTTTCTGAGCACCTTTAAGGTAGGCTCATCATAGCCTAGGCTCTGATGTTCAGTAGGTTAAGTGTATTAAATGTATGGTTTATCAAGATGTAACCCCATCATAAGTTGAGAAAGATCCGTAGTCAAATGGATTCTCTTAAAACTAATGTTCTTCAACTAGCCTATTTTTTATTAGTCCATCTTTTGTGAAGATACCAATGAGCTTTATATTAATTTCTCTCCTGAATACCATCTTTCATTAGTGTTAGAGACTTTCTCTCAGACCAGTCTGTGTTTTCCAGAGTAAGATGGAAACACTAAAAGGGCAACACTTTGCAAATGTGAAGTCACATGTCAAAATGTTACCTCATATCCAGTATAGCAACCAAATCTACTAAAAGAATCTGTCTTTCCATAGTCCAAATAGTGTATTTAGATTGCCTATACACTATTATAAAATGCTATGGGATACAATTAAATAGTAAATACACTGGCATAGATATTTGTGCATGGCTGGTACTAGGGCAATAGATATAAGTATAGGAAAATTATTGCAAAAAATTTAGGCAATCCTCATATATAGCACTGAGCATTAGGAATACTTAGGCTATACTCCTTGACTGCTGTTAGAGACTACTGGCTTATGTTTCCAGTTAGATGGAATAAAAGGCTACCTCCTCTCAACTAGAATAAAGGGAGCCAATGAAACGTTAGCTAAAATTTTAGCTTTAATAACCTGACATCTAACTCAACTTCATCTTCGGTTCAACATACTCTGATTTACCCCTAGACTTCCTTATTTCAGTTTTTAGGACAATTAGTCAACCAGATGTTCAGGCCAAAATAAGAATCTTCCTTGATTTCTTTTTTCGCATTACTGCCTGCCTCTACCACCTAATCCAAGTCTTACTGACACTATCTCCTAAATATAGCCAGAGTATGATTACTTCTTACCTTCTCACTGGCTACAACTCTAGTTGAGCTATCATCAATTCTCTTCTAATATTCTACAACAGCCTTCTAAGTGATTCCCTGCTTCTGTTTTTCCACTCCCTAAAATAGTTCATTCTCCATACCATAAATCAGTCATTAAAAAATAAATAAATAAAAATCATATATTAGTCTCCTACTTAAATATCTCTAAGGGCTTCATACTACCCCAAGGATAAAATCCAATTTTCTTGCCACGGTCTTTACTCAGTTTGGTTTACTACACTTCAGCAACACTGCTCTTCTTTTTATGTCTATTGCCTGATCCCATCACTGGACTATAACCTCCATCTGGACTATAACCTCCAATATACATCTTTTTTTTTGTCTTGTCCATCACTGGGTTTCCAGTGCTAGAAGGGTAGTGCCATACCCAATTAAAGTGTTATATAAATATTTATTCAATGAATTAAAAAATCAACACCTTGGATAACTATATCCCATAATCATTCTTCCTTATGGAGTTTGACATCCAAAATCAAGACCTCCAATACGAACCATACCTACTCTCTTTGAGGCAATACATA